TTTGAAGATGCAACGATTGTCTGTGTAGACATATACAAGATCAGACACAATCTCTTCGTCAAGCATAAAAATACGGTAATTCTGATGTCAGTTTGAGTTGAAATTAGAGGCTGCTTTTAATTATTGGTCTGTTCTGTGGATTTGAGTTGGGTGTGCTTTTACACTTTAAATAATTTCCACGAATAAATGCGTAGGTCTTGATGATCCATCCATTCATGGATTTGTGGCTATAAAGGGCCAACAAATTATTACAATGTTAAAGCAACGTGCGGCCAGCCTGGTTGCAACCTTTGCAAGAGTTCTAGAGCGTGAGATGAAGTTCATTGCACTGAAGAAGCCAACCGCGTGACTGCATCGAGTATTTATTAGCTCAGTATTTTACCACTAGAATCGAGCCTGACCATTTATAGTAGATTTGACGAATCATGTGATAAGTTTTACGATCTTGCTAAACTATGAAAAAACCTGTGATTCGATGAACTATAAACGTTAAAAAATCTCAATTATTTTAAAAAAACAACAGAATAACTTCGAAAGCAACAAGTAAAATAAAGAAATTCCCAAAAAATAACCTCTGCATATAATTTGGACACAAATTACTAATTTTCAATAGATATTAGGCACTAAATTACTAACTGGGCACAAGGGAATTAGGCACTCCGGAGTCCAGACACTTCGTCAACTCTGAACACCCCAACCATGCAGCTCCCTCCAGGTGCAATATCATACACAGAAAAAAAAAAAAACACATAATTTTGCTTTGCAAGGATCCAATATCCTGCCATGATACTTAATCATGGGCCTGACATTATGCATCTGAGGTACATGTTGCTCTTTAATTCCAACAGCCTAATGAGAATTAGCTTGTTCTTTTTCCCCTGGTAGAGCTCTCTCTTCCACATTATTAAATCCAAAGAGAAGCAAGATAATATGCTATTGCAAGCAAAACATAATTGTAAGGACAACCCAGAAAAAATTGCCATTCATGTAGTTGGTGTGCATTCTGTGGAAGTGACCCATGGAAAGCTATATGGGCCTGCCACTTAGTCAATGGCTAAGATTGAAAATGAAAGCTCTGCCTTTATGGACAGATGGTTGTGTCTTCGCCTCACAAATCCCAATTATGACCAAGAATAAAGTCTGTGCCAGACAAAATCATTTGAATGCAACTCCAGTCCATTTATTTTATCCCAAAAAAATGAAAAATGTGTGCAAAACTTGCTTTCAAGTGGACGGGGGGTTCGGTATCTTTTGTTTCTTTTTATTTAAAAATATATTAAAATAATTTTATTAGATTTTATTTTTATTTTTAAGACTAACACATTAAATTATCAAGAAAAACACTAAAATAATTATTAATTTAATATTTTTTCAAACTACTAAAAATAGTTTTAAAACACATACAAACACAATTTTAAATTCCTTTCTCGTCTTATTTCTATATTTTCTGGCGAGACATGGGCAGTAGTGGACTTGGAACCGTATTTTCATTATCATATACAGGACATGAATCAACCTGTCCGTGATTCATGAAGTGCTTGAAAGGGTTGAATCTACCCAAACTCCAAAAAAAAAGGAAAAAAAAAATACTAAAAGAATGAAAATAAAGTGTTAATAGTATAAAGGTAAGAATCTGTGACATATAGTTAACTTGAAAAGGAAGGAAAGAGAAAATAATTCAGCACTGCTTGCAATTTTAATCGTGAATATCTAAAGTGTTTTTTTTAATATATTAAAATATTTTTTTATTTTTAAAAATTATTTTTAATATTATTATATCAAAATAATAATAATTTTTTTAAAAAAAATGTAATTTGAATCATATTTCTAAATACCGCCATAAATCTCACCTTGATATTAAAAAATTTAATAGAAAATAAAATTATATCATTGGCCAACAAGTATACTGCATCATGTAATAATGATATGACATTTGAGGTCATGGTTTAGTGGTGCTGATAAGAAATCCTACTTTAGCATCCGGGTTTAATTTTTTTTGTGCATGTTTGTTACCCATGATGCTTTATTTGTTTATTAGATTTATAGGATGTTCATTAAATTTAAAGATTAATCATAATATATGTAAGTTAATATAAATATCTCAGATTATTAAAATAATAATAATAATACATACACACACCTCTCTTTTAATTTCGCATTGCTAATTATATACCTTGTGAGGCAAAGAGATTCATTAATTTATTTACGTTATTACTATGATTAATTATATTTTAGCTCTGGTAGAGTCAGCAATGTTCCGCTTGAACACCAATAGTTTATACGGGTATTTGGGATAGTAATCATAGCTGTTGATTTAAAAACATAAAAAAATTAATTTTTTTTTCATAATTTAATAAGAAAAACCACCTGGCCAAACATACCCTATGCAAGTTTAAAAAGCAAAAGAGAACTTAACTGTAAGCAAGAAAAAGTAGCCATTTTCTTAAGGACTGTTGAAATAATCTTGATGGTCACAGATCACTTCATTAATGCAGACTCTGGACACTTTATAGTAGAACTCATGCTTGAATATAGAATAATATAATTTTGCATTAGGTAGCGAAAGTTTCTCCTAGTTTTTTATTCTTTTTAATGTGAGGACAATATAAAAGAGTTGGTAGATACCTATAAATCTTACAATTAATGATGCTAGTTTACCGACCCTTTTAATTAAATAATATATTTAAGAGTGTAGTTGTTTTTTAAAATAATTTTTATTTAGAAAGGTATTAAAATAGTATATATTTTTATTTTTAAAAATTATTCTTGATATTAATATATTAAAATAATATTAAAATATTTTTTATTTTTTTTAAATTTAACTAAAACATGATTTGAAATGCAATTCCAAAAAGCCTTAAAGTTAATGATTGAATATACCGTAATGCGATCCCTTACATTGCAGTTTCCTTTAGGTTCCCACCTTAATTAAATCATGTGTTTGCTTTATATATATATATATATAACCATGATTGATGATTGTGGCTTAATGATCATGACAATAAGAAATTAAAAAAGGAGGAGCAAAAGATGACACAGCAACCTCCAAAAAAATCATTGATCTTAATTTTTTTCATTTTTCGTTTAAGAAAAAGGGGAAAACAACGATCATCTGTGTTATAATGAGTCAGAGAAGAGACTTTCAATCCTTTCACTAAACGCCACCAGTTTATACATACATACATACATACATACATACATACATACATACATACATCCATCCATCTATATATATATATATATATATTGGTTCTTTAGTGACATGACATTTATGACATTAATCCATACATGTCAATTACACGCCTGGTAATCTGTTATGTCTAGGATGATATATATAAAATACTCCATGTAAAAATATTTTTCAAGCTAAAATAATATTAAAAAGTATTTTATGAAAAATATAAGATCCAAAGTACATTATTAGGCTTTGCAATGAAACTTGTACATTTGGTTTTCTTTGTACTCTCACATCATGAGAAAAGAAAGTGAAAAGCATTTTCTGGTTTGTATGAGCATGAGCGGTTTAGAAACGAGGATGCGCAATAGAAGTCATTTTCTGATATGATTTTGAAAGTGGTTAGCATAATTATTAAATCTAAACGCACTTGGCTTGGTTTTCGGCAGCCAATGCCAAGAACAAATTCTGCATTATTAAGGTAAAATTAAGGTCTCTCATTTCAGTTCTGTCCCTTACGACACTTATGTTCTGTGTCTTTAGCGAATCAAAACTCTTTAAGATATAAAGCCTTTATATATATATATATATATGAGAATAATATAAATTATAATTTAATTTTTATTTAATAATTTTAATTTTTAGATTAAAACAGTTCATTATAGAGTATTAGAGTTTTGATTACGTATTTAATTATTTTTGTTTATTTTTATAATAAAAATAAAGTATAATATGATATAATATGAACTTCCAAGTTTAAAGGGATATAACTCTCTCTTTTTCAAGAAAAAGGAATAGAAAGGCATGAAAGGTTGATTGTGGCCAGGAAAGAGAACTTCAAGAATACTACCGGTTAGGAAGATAGCTAGAACGAGCTGTTCCAGTTTCTAAGCACATGGGCAGCAATTGAATATGATAACTTCTTTCGTCATTCCTACTAGTGTTGAATCTGCCCTCAAAAGCATATGGAAATGAATCAAATTTATTTATTTGGATAGCTAGAGAAAGGTCAACTGGTTTAATTATCAGTTACGAAAGGCATTTACGGACAAGTTGCAGCATCATTAATTTTATCTTAACATCCAATAGAGGGTGGAGGGAGTGGCTTCGATATATTCGCAAGCTCATTAGTTTGTGATTTCGAGTAATCCCAGGACAGCAATTGCAGGATTCAGTCATCCTTGAACACCAAAAATCTCCACCATATTCCTTAAAAAAAAAAAAAACTGGACGAGAGAACATTTCATTATCTTACAGTGGACTATAAATGTACAGAATGAACCAGAAAAAAGTTAAGTTGACCCCCTCTTGATCTTCTTCTTCTTTTCAAGTTTATAAAAAGGGTGCCAGCACTGTAATGTGAGACACAAGTTCCTCTCCTCTCTCAGAGATGCAAAGAAGACGGATTAATATTGCTTTCTGATATATTGCCGCATCAGATCAGACCCACCATCTAATGTGGGGCAAGATGCTTATATGGCTCCATCAGAGGGTCATGATGTCTACTGAATAATGAATTCACTCCACGAATCAGGCATCGTGATTCAGAACCGAAATAAATTCCTTGATAGTCAACTGTAGATGAAAAGCTTCAAAATATACCACCTGTATTAAAAACTTCTTGCCTCTTGGCCAAATAAAATCCGTCAAATGGTAACTGAACCTTCCTGGTGGATCCATACAGCTGACGTGGCCCAATTAAAAGGGAGAGTGAATGGAAGTGGAAATGATCAAGGGTATAGAGGATTGACACCCCCCAAGCTAGAGACTCTTCATTTCACTCGCATTTCATCTTGACCAAGCATTGCTGCCTCCACCAAATCTACCTCCACACCCTTCCAGGTAACTTTTATTGCTATATATATTTGGAGCTTCCTCTCCTTCAATTGCCAACACATTGGAACTCAAGAAGAGTCTCCAGAGGTTTGTATTGTTCTTGTTTGTGGAGACCAACCCGCCAACTTCTGTCCTGAACAGCGAACTTCTCCCCGCTGGCACTCTTTTGTCTTAAACTCTTTGCTACCCATCGTATCATTATTTTACTTTGTTGTGCTTGTTAAGCCAGGTAGCATAGAGCAAGCTCACCTGTGCATTCATCTTTCCTTTTCTTTTCTTTTTCCTCTAGTCCTTCTAAAAGTTGACCAGATTGATTATTTTCAAGTTATGTAGCCTTTTCCACTAATCAGTTCCTCAATGAATCCATTCCTCCCTGTAAAATCCCAAAATTGTCGCTAGAGGGTATTCTGGCTTTAGCTTCTGAGTGTTTGAGTCATCTTTTCCTAGCTTTCAAAAAAGGAAGAGATTCAAGTGCAGCGCTACTTTTCACCAGTTAGCTTCTTGTTGGATAACATCATGGAGGAGACATTTGTGCCGTTCCGTGGAATCAAGAATGACCTTCGGGGAAGATTAAGGTGTTACAGGCAAGACTGGACAGGTGGATTCAAATCAGGATTCAGGTATCTGATCATCTCTTTAGTGATCATACAAAATCTTGCTGTGCATGGTTTGCAGTAATTGGCATTTTGTTGACAGATACATATATTCTTTTCATTTTAGGCCTTCTCTTTGTTGGTCAATTTCAACATGATTGTTGGTGACAAAAAATTTTGATGTTCTTTTCAGGATTTTGGCTCCCACCACATATATATTCTTTGCTTCCGCTATTCCGGTCATTTCATTTGGTGAACAATTGGAGAGAAATACTGGTATTGACATGAACTCAGTGAAGACCTATTTTATCTCCTGTTGAATATTCTTTTTCTTAAAAAACTGATGTTGCTTCACTCAAATCATGCTTATTCTTTTTCTCATACTCTACCGTTTTATCAAAACATCTTAATCTCAAGGTGGAAAAAGGAAAAAGAAGAGACATGACTATTATGTAAAATTTTAGCACGTCATGAAATCTATCTTGCACTTGCAGATGGGGTTCTAACAGCAGTTCAGACCCTAGCATCCACCGCAGTTTGTGGAATCATACACTCAATTGTTGGGGGTCAACCTTTGCTGATATTGGGAGTCGCAGAGCCAACAGTCATCATGTATACATTTATGTTTAACTTTGCTAAAGAGAGAGCTGATTTGGGAAGGGATTTGTTTCTTGCATGGACTGGATGGTGAGCTGCTTAACCGCTTTTTAGTGGTCTTAGATAATCTCCTTCCTCTGCATGGACTGGATGGTGAGCTGCTTAACCCCTTTTTAGTGGTCGTAGATGATCTCCTTCCTCTGTTTGACAAAATTTACCTGGTTATATGATCTTTCAGGGTATGTGTTTGGACTGCACTCTTGTTGTTCTTACTGGCTGTCTTAGGAGCATGCTCCATTATCAATAGGTTCACCCGTATAGCAGGAGAGTTGTTTGGTCTACTTATTGCAATGCTCTTCATGCAACAGGCCATCAAAGTAAGAGTGGTCCAAGGCTTTTTCTGCATTATGATGGCTTGTTGTGATTGATTTCTACTTGTTACTATTTTTGTTTAACTAGTTAAACTAATCAGTTGACCTGATTGTGAAGGGACTTGTGGACGAGTTTCGCATTCCACAACGAGAAGATCCAAAATCAATGGAGTTTATACCTTCATGGAGGTTTGCTAATGGAATGTTTGCTTTGGTTCTATCATTTGGCCTCCTGCTCACTGGATTAAGAAGCCGCAAGGCAAGATCATGGCGCTATGGGAGTGGTATGTAGATCAAAATTCAGGTTTCTAATAGAAAAATACCTAGGGCTTCTACTCTATCTACTAATTATGATCAGTCGGCAATCTTGATCACTTTAAATATTACTCAATTCTTTTGTTTTGAAAACTTAAAATTATTTTCCTGACAGGTTGGCTTAGAAGTTTAATAGCAGACTACGGTGTCCCCCTCATGGTTCTAGTGTGGACAGCTGTCTCGTATATTCCAACAGGAAATGTTCCTAAAGGGATCCCCCGGCGTCTTTTCAGCCCAAATCCCTGGACTCCCGGTGCCTACGAGAATTGGACTGTCATTAAGGCAAGTTCTGTCGCGTCTTATAGTAATCTGGAAATCAATGAATTTTATCTCCACATATTTTACTAAAATGATTATTTTGAACCCCATATGACAGGAGATGTTAAACGTTCCCATTTTCTACATAATTGGAGCTTTCATTCCTGCTACGATGATCGCGGTGCTTTACTATTTTGACCATAGTGTAGCATCTCAACTTGCTCAGCAGAAGGAGTTCAATTTGAGAAAGCCATCTTCTTACCATTATGACTTGCTTCTTTTGGGGTTTCTGGTATGCAGATATTTGTGTTTCCTTCTCCTCGGATTGTCCCTTCTAACTTTATTTTTTTCGATCATTCATAATATTTACATTTATGATGTCAGACCTTAATGTGTGGTCTTCTTGGAATCCCTCCATCAAATGGAGTCATCCCCCAATCTCCAATGCATACAAAGAGTCTGGCTACTCTTAAGTACCAGGTAATATATCCTGAAATCTCTCTAAAACTAAAGGTTCTTTCAATAAAGCGATTAGTATTGAAGATTTTTTCTTTCAATAAAGCGATTAGTATTGAAGAAATTTTTTTTTTGTTATTCAAATAATCGTTTGCAGTCTTGTTGTCTCAGTGATAACTTTGTGCACTAAATCTGCTTATGGAAAATATTACGTAGTTGCTTCGAAATAGACTTGTGCAAACAGCACGTAGAAGTCTGAGAAAGAATGCCAGCTTGGGACAGTTGTATGGAAATATGCAAGAAGCCTATCAACAAATGCAGACTCCTTTGATCTACCAACAGCCCGCTCAAGTATGTTCGCAACTTATGCTGCTGTTGGCCATTTTGCTTTCTCTTGAAAGTAAACATGGTCACATTTTTGGAATTCCTAAATGAAGTCACATTATCTGCTTTTGCGAAAAGTAATTGAGAATAGTTAAACATCTTGTACAGGGTCTAAAGGAATTCAAAGAATCAACCATCCAAGCTTCTACATGTACAGGCCATATCGATGCCCCGGTTGATGAGACAGTATTTGACATCGAGAAGGAAATTGATGATCTATTGCCTGTTGAGGTTAAAGAACAACGTCTAAGTAACATACTTCAAGCCACAATGGTAGGAGGTTGCGTTGCAGCCATGCCCTTCCTCAAAATGATCCCAACCTCAGTCCTTTGGGGCTATTTTGCGTTTATGGCCATTGAAAGTTTGCCGGGTAACCAATTTTGGGAAAGAATATTACTGCTCTTCACTGCACCAAGCAGAAGATACAAGTAAAAACTTCAAATCCTGTATCTTTTACACTTACACTTTATCTTGCATGCTTGCTTGTTATTCATCGCCTAAATTAACTTTCTCGCAGAGTTCTTGAAGATTACCATGCCACATTTGTAGAAACAGTTCCTTTCAAGACAATTGCCATGTTCACAATTTTCCAGACAATTTATTTGCTGATATGTTTCGGTCTCACTTGGATTCCAATTGCGGGTGTTATGTTTCCTTTGATGATCATGCTTTTGGTTCCAGTAAGACAATACTGTCTTCCCAAGTTTTTCAAAGGAGCACACCTTCAAGACTTGGATGCAGCCGAGTATGAAGAAGCACCAGCGTTGCCATTCAATCTCGCAACAGTAAGATTCCTTGTCCGACATAACGCACAGGAAAACCCATCATACATTGTTCTAAAAAAACCCATCTTGCAATCACTTTCGCTTCACATGTATAATTTCTTCATTATGTCTATAGGAGGCAGAGATGGGGGCAGAAGCCGCTTATGGAGGAGATGGAGAGATTTTGGACGAGGTTATTACCAGAAGCCGTGGAGAGTTCAGGCACATAAGTAGTCCTAAAATCACAAGCTCCACTGCAACACCAGCAAATAATCCTAAAAGCCATCAAAGCCCACGTCTCTCTTACACATATAGTCCTCGTGTCAGTGAACTAAGAGGGGAGAAAAGTCCTAAACCTGGTGTAAGAGGGCCTAACAGTCCAATTACTGGAGATCAAAAGTTATCTAAACTGGGGAAGAGTCCTTCAAGTTCAGAACAAAATTAGTGCCAAATTGTTTTTGGCTTATCTACCAGTAATTAAGAAAGGAGCTTTAGATTGGCTTGTGCTTGCCCCATTTCCATTTTTAAGTGTGTTGTTTTTGTTGGAATTAGTGTAAAATATTCCTTCTATCTGATCTTCTCCTTCTGAGAAAAAAATTGTATAATAGAATAGTTGCTTTGGTTGTAACAAGTGTACTGAAGTATATTGGTTCCGTCTATAGTAATTCAATGCATTGCTTTATGATGAAATTTTGTTGTTCTTAATTAGAATTGCAAATAGCCAGTTTATAATTCAATAAAGCCTTACTTATTTTGCTTCGGCTGCAAGGATCCCATCTTGATATTACTTCCTACCATACTACTGATGCCTCAAACTCTACGGTAAATATTTTCCGGGGGTTCTTTTTCGGTATAACGGAGAGCATACTGTTTGAACCTAAAATTACTATCACGATATCTGGCTGTCTTACCGCCTGACCTAATTTCAGATGATGTTATTTTGGTTGATACATCGGCAGTTATTTGAAGCCTCTGTTGCTCAGTTTCGGATATCCATATCTGGTGCCACTGCATGTCTGATAAACATATCCATATCTGAATCCACAGCCATCTGCAAATATCAAATGTCACACATGGATACTCTAGGCAAAGTGAAGAGCAGATCGAAGCAACATAAGTTGAAACTTATCTGATGTGTTCCATGCCATCAAATTTCAGCCCTCTTTCTGCCTTCATGCATCCCTAGCCAATTATTACAAGCAAGGACTGCCAGCAAATGAAGCCGTTACAAATTTGCCAATGAGATTCAGCTAATCATAAAACCATTTTTGTGAAGCAAGCTACCGATGCCATTGTTCTGTTGCTATCGTATATATCACTTTAATAATTGGAACTGAAAAACAAAATTAGGTTCTGGTGTATTTCATTGTTGAAAGACTTTGATTCTCTTTAAAGAAATTATGAAATGCACTAGTGTTTGTTCAAACCAGATCATGATTTTGAAGGGACCTGTAGCTGGACACATAAAACTGCTTGTGGCCCAAGACTCTGGCTCTTAATGTCTTTTTCTTTTTGGGATTGCTGGTGTGTGTGTGGTCTGTTCTGTAATTATAATTACCTTGTAATAATCCAACCCAAGCGTCAACGCTTCAATATAAACGAAGCATGTAGAAGACTGGTTTGGACCACAAACTTGATATGAGTAAAAGTACTGTTAGTGTCACAAATAAAGGGACTTCTAAAACAGAATTTTTCCCATCGAGCATGCCAGGGAATAGAAGAACTAGAAGAGATAGCTGGTTAGCTAAAACTTGTAAGGTCCTACACCCTCAAATTGAAAAAAACACACACACACGAGTGAACATTGCTGAACAGGGTTTGAGTGCTTTTCATAGCATAGGTTTTGGTGGGCTGTAGTTTTTCACGTCAACCATTAATTATGAAAAATGGGCGAGCGATCGAGCTCAAGTCCCTTTCTAATGATTTCAGTATCTCTGTCAGTGCACAATTCAGAGAAACATTCCAAAAAGAATAGCTTGGTTATATAAGTATATCCTCAACTTTTAATTCCTTGCTCAAGTCCCTTTCTAATGATTTCAGTATCTCTGCCAGTGCACAATTCAGAGAAACATTCCTAAAAGAATAGCTTAATTATACAAAGTATATCCTCAACTTTTAATTCCTTGCGCAAAAATAAAGTTGCTTGAAATCAGATGTTCCGAGTTTCCACTGGAGAAAGGAGTTGACCATCTGAGTTTTGTCGAGATGGAAGAAAACCGAATTATGAAAAGTCGCAACCATTTGAGACATCTGAATCGTCTTGAGTAAATATTGCCATATGCACCACAATAAACCTGAGGAAATCATGCATACTAGCTGTCAAAAATATGTGGTCTAAATTTATGTCTTTCTCCAGATGTCTCCCTTTTCTCTAAAAACTCGAAATAAACCACACATTCATCCTTTATTTTTAATTTTTTTTTTCTGATTATAACAAAAACTTGATCTCCTATTTTTCAAAGCGTGTCACAATCGCTCAATTAATTAACTATATAACAATAATTAATTGTGACAACAAATCAAATTTTAAAAAAATTGACATAATATAGATTAAATTGGAAATTATACTGACATAAATATCTAGAATACTAGTGATCATGAGTGACAGATAATAATACGAGTTAAAAATATAAGACAAATATAATATAAATTTGTGCAAAACACGTTAGCTTGGTTTGTTTGGGTCAAACTAAGAACAATCAAGCCTATTTTTTAGCTTCAAATAGTATTGGGTTGATTTGATCATAATCGAACCAAGCCCAAATCATCTCATTATTCACTGCAGCATTGAGTCTAAGTTTACTTGAGAAAGTCCAAGTTTTCCCTCGATTTCTAATCATTGGTGCTAATAGAGAAATGTGATACTTTATAGTTAAGGTATCCTATTTTTGTTGGGATCATTGCTTTTATGCCACAAGTTATTAGAGAAGGAGTTTCATTAGTAGAAATCTTCTAGAAAATTAATTTTTTTAACCTAATAAAGTTATCTGCAAGATGAATATGTGATATGGTTTTATACCCTTGTTAGGAGAAGGAACTAAAATCCTTTAAATAATATGTTTAAAGGTAAATCATTCTCATTTAATAACTAAAGATATGAGTGGGTAATGGTTAATAATGAAAAATTGACAACCTCTCTACACAATATATACAAGTGCCCCTAGAGATATGAGTGGGTAGTGGTTAGTGATGAGAGATTGACAACCTCTCTACACAATATATACAAGTGCCCCTTAATTTGGAATATAGTAGGTGGAGATAACACAACTTATCCTTAAAGTCCTAGTAAGATGAATATATTTAAAAAACTTCTTTGTAATTACCAGTATCATATCTTCTAGTTAGTCGAAGGGTTATCTTTGAAATAAAGTTTATATGCTATGAATATTAACCATCTCTTATTTTTTTGAACTATTCTAGTCTTGTTCTCGTTTATTTTATGCAATGTTTTAGGTGGTGTAGGAAACTCATGAAGAGCTCGAAAATATTTTTTTTCTTTAAGCAGTTTTATATCATCATCAGATAAGGAGCAAGAGAAAAAGGAGGAGAGTCAAGTAAATGTTAAAGATTATGAGGAGGAGGTTGAAAAGGATGTTAAGCCTTCTATAATGAATTAGGGGAAGAATACTATAATATATTTGACAACGAGTAGATACGCTCTTCATAAAAATAGTAGAAAGAACATTACACCTTCTCTGAGGTCTCTTCCTAGCCCCTTACTATCAGCACAAACAAGTCTTGTTCCAATTTCTAGTAATGTTGATTTGCCTAATACAGGACAAGTAGGGGTGATCATTTTCAGTTCGGTTCGGTTTTTATCAAAAAAAAGTAACCAAACCGAAAAAAATTTTTTTAAAAAAAAACCTGAAACCGAACCGAAACCGGGTCAAACTGACTGGTTTCGGTTCGGCTTGGTTTTTTAGGGGCAAAACCGGTTCATATCGGTTTGGCTCGGTTTTTCCGGTTTGGCTCGGTTTTGGCTTGGTTTTGGCTCGGTTTTTTTTCGGTTCGGTTTGGTTTTTCAGTTTTTTGGTTATAAAACCGAACCGAACCGGCTGGTTTTTTCAAAATTTTAATCGGTTTAATCGGTTTTTTTTTCGGTTCGGTTTTTTTTCTGGTTTTCTTGGTTTAATCGGTTTTTCGGTTTTTTTGCTCACCTCTAAGGACAAGGCAATACTAGCATTGCTATTAGTTCTAGTTTTATGGTGTTTGCTGGTGGTAGCTCTAGATTTATATTTTAATCTCCAACTATAATGAATAAGGGGAAGAATATTATAATGAATTTATAGCGAGTGAATATGCTCTTTGTAATAAGAGTAGAAAGAACATTGATTCAAGTGCACCTTATTTGATTCCTTTTCCTTACCCTCTACCATTAGCTCTTATACCATCAATATAAGCAAGTCTTGTTCTCATTTTTAGTGATGCTGATTTTCTTGATACATGATAAGACAATACCAGCACTAATGTTAATTCTAGTTTTATGGCATTTGTTGGTGGTAGCTCTGGATTTATATCTTTTTTCCCCAACTAAGGTAAGGAATCATCCTCTTCCTTCATTAAATTTTGATAACACAAAGAGGGCAATTATGAGTGTTTACTATGGAGAAGACTCGTCAACTTTAGATTGACAAGATAAAGCAATACAAGTTTTTACTAAAATATCTCAATAGACATAGGGTTGTTGAAGATGAATTTAGCTGGACCTAGGCTTTCTCAACGTCTAATCTTAGATGAGTTTGCAAACTTCCAATAAATTTAGGTAGACCTAGGCTTTCTTAACGGATAATCCTAGGTAGTGTTACCTGCAAAAAATACTCTGATGGTTAAGTCACTATAATGTTTTAAAAGTGTTATTTTATTGTATAGAGAAAAGATGATTGCCGGTAATAAATAAGAGAGAAAGATCATTCTAGATCCTTTTCCTTCTTGCTTTGCTTTTCTTTATATAACCTAAGGAGTAGCTTTTAAAAAATATAGAAGTAGCTTCTTAGATGTAGCATCTTATAATAACTTTATTAGTTGTTGCCACATTGTATAGGTTAAAAGTAAAGCATAGATGTCAGTGTAGTGTATAATGTCAACATGAACAATAATGAACTACCAAGAAAGATAACAAAAAGAAAGGAGGATTGTTTAAAAGAATCAACTCAAACCAGGAATAAAGAACTAATCATGTTTTTTAGCTCAATATAGGTTCGGTTTAACCTAGTAAAAGCAAATCCAAGAGGAGATATTGGGTTTTGGAATGATCCTCCTTTCTTACTAACTACATACAATCATCTTTTCCCCCTACAAAAAAATAACACCCTTAAAATACCTTAATGACTTAGCCACTATAATTTTATTTTTTTTAGATAGCACTGATAAGGATTATATGCTAATAAAGCCAATTTCAAACTACATTTATTTAAAATTTGTAACACCACTTAAGATTATTTGCTAAATATAATGCTATTCCACTTTTAGCATTTACTTCTACAGTTAGCATAGATCCTGTGTAAATGATTAGTAAAATCACCGACACCCTTTGAACAAAGTCGTACTAGTTACCTATTGACATGTCAAAAATTAAAATGATGTGTCACTTGGTAATTGGAATAGTGTGAATAGTATACTTGGGCCTTGATTGATTTGTCACAAAAAAAAAAAAAAAAAAAGGTTGTAGAGACGATGAGATCTATAGCTCTTCATAAAAAGGTCTG